ATTTAATGCATTTAAATACGACATCCTTTCTTCGTTTGTCAATCACAGTATTTAAATACGGAACTGTTCTGTGATGACGTAACACAGTTTGTAACACAAATAATTTCCTTACAGTTAGTAAATTCCAGATTTTATATAAGGTTGAACTTGAATAAGTAAAGGGTTTGCCCAGCATAATTTTGAGTATAGCCCTCTGTGCCCTCTCTAACGGAAGCAGGTTAGTTCTGTGTGCACCACCCCATACTGAGACACAATAGTTCAGCAGAGACTGGGCTAAGGCAAAGTAAACGGTTTTTAGTAGTTTTGGTTCCACAGAAGATCTCAGCCTTTTAAATGGGTACATGAGCTTTCTGATACGAGCAGCTGTCAGGGAGATGTGTTTTCGCCAGTTTAATGTACTATCAACTACAAGACCTAAATATGTCGTGTCCGAACATCTTTGAATAGGTTGGCATTGACAATTTAGACTCGGAGACGGTCGACAGGTATGCACAACAAGTTTGTAACTATCACTTTGTGGTTGAGATGATAAACGGGAACTGAAGGTAATGTACTTTGTCTTAGCCAAGTTCAATGTCAGAAGATTAGAAGAAAGCCATTTCATAACGGTAGAAAGAGCATTTTCGGCATACAGATGTACAGATTCCCATGAATTACCGTGAACAATTATAGCTGTATCATCTGCATAAGAAAATATTTTCGAATTCGGTAGATGTTAAGTATATTGAAGTAAGTACAAGAGAGTGGAGCCTCCTCCGTCGATTTCAATTAGGCAGCTGCTTGATCGTTTGCTCGCTTTTTTAAAAAAAATAGTAATCGGTGAGTGTGATGAGTGGGAAAGTGAAAGACTCATCATAGCTGCTTGTTGAGCAACACAACAGTGACGGCTGCGACGTCGCGACGGCGGGATAGCACGGATACTTCTGTGAATTGAAATACTTCCTGCACCCCCCCCCCCACACACACACACACATCTCACCACACCCGGTCACACCTCGCACCCCACACTCTGCATCCCCGAGGGATTGAATTAAAACGCTCACGCGCCACCCGAGCGACGGAGCGCACGGACCTCGCAAAAGCCGCGTAAACTATTCGGCCCATTTTACGGAAGATAATTATATGATACAATTTTCTCATTTATTTTCTTTAAAACGTAAATATTCCATATATACTTATGTACCGAAGCTTCAAATATCTTATATAATCAAATATCTTGGTACATATGTACATTTCCCCTACAAAGCTTAGGAGACTAATAGAGACTAATACTAGACTAAGACTTGATCATGTTTAAAATTGTGCTGTAAGCACTTTCCCTCATTCAGAAGAACGATGAGAGTCCCACAACAATCACACAGTCTCTAACATAATATGTTCATTAAAATCCACAGCATGCTTGCAACTAACCGGCCACCGGATTACTCTTAACGTTCTGTCATACTCTGGCACTTCAACTACTTTTACATTTTTCATCGCTGTCACAATTACAATTAAACTAATTTAAAAAAATATGTATTTTAATTCTCCTTAAAAAAAGGTTGAACAATTTAATATTTTATCAATAATTTAAATTATCTCCAGACCTACATTAAACGTTAAAGGTATCTATTTTCGTGTTATCTCAGCCATTGTGAGTGAAGATGTATGTATATAGACGGCCCATAAAAGTGAACATAAAAGCGAACGCCCGCCGCCGCCGGAGCGCGCGGGCTAAGGATGAAGGTCTGGGGCGGAGGGCGGAGGGCGGAGGGCGCGCTAAAGAAAAATTATTGGAGAAGCGGTAAAGAGGTCCGCAATAAGCCGGCCGCGCCGGAAGTGGCTCCCCCGAGGAGCACGGCGCGGCCGCGAGGCCTCATCAAAAGCCATAAGTTTACTACACATACATTCTGGCTAACAGGCTGGCGGAGCGCAGCGAGGGAATTGGACATACATTCGTACAACTTAGTAACATGTTTAAACATATACTTTTTGTTTTGCTTATTCGTATAGAGCACGTCCAATTTGCAACAGTATCGACAGCTACGATTCCAATGGCTGCAAATGGCCAACGAGCAGTTTTACCGCGCAAAAAAAAATTGTGAAAAAAACATTAAATAGGATGTCGTTACAAGAATTATTTACGAGTGGATAAACCCCTTATTAAATTATATTTGAATGTTGCACAGAATTAAACAAAATGTTATATTTAAATAACGTTAAATGGCTTATCTTGGTGAAAGTATACGAATACAAATAGCACTGCACAAAAATATGTAAGTTCATAAAGATAATCCACAATGTAAATAGACATGTAGCGATAAAGACGACACCGCGACTGCAGATAACGTAATTTACGTAAGTGTAATAAACATAAAGTTGGAACAGTTTAAATAGGGAGACGGCAGTCAACGGGTGCGGCATTGGGCGACATGAGTTTCAGTGGCAAAGTAGTGTTTGTCAGCGGAGGCAGCTCGGGCATCGGCGCCGCTACCGCCCGGGAGTTCTCCAAGGAGGGCGCCACGGTCGTCATCGTCGCCAGAAATGAAACCAAAATGAAACAAGTGGCCTCCGAGTGTGAAGAGAACGGAAAGAGACCGCTACTGATCAGAGCCGATATCTCACAGGACGCGGAGGCTAAACGAGCCATGGAAGAGACCATACAGACGTACGGGAAGTTGGATATTCTGGTGAACAACGCAGGAATTTTGAGATACGGGACGTTGCTGGATGGCGGAGCGCTGGCGGCGTGCGACCAATTGATGGCGATAAACTTCCGAGCGGCGTTGCACCTGACGCAGCTCGCGGCGCCGCATTTGGTGCAGACGCGGGGCAGTGTCGTGAACGTGTCGAGCGTGGACGGGTCCTCGTCGGTGACGCCGCCGCTGGTGCCCTACAGTGTCACTAAAGCGGCGCTCGAACAGCTGACTCGCGGCGCGGCGCGCGAGCTGGCACCGCACGGCGTCCGGGTGAACGCCGTCAGCCCCGGGCCGGTGTACACCGACATCTATGATAGCGGCGGCCCCCACCCTGTCGACAACAGCAACATAACGACACCGCTCGGCACCATCTCTCAGCCGGAGGAGATCGCGCACCTCATCTTGTTCCTTTGCAGCGACAAGGCAAAGGCCATCACCGGCTCAAACTATGTGTCCGACAACGGATATCTTTTGCTACCTGTTTAAATATTTTTCCATGAATGACCTGTGGGAACTATTTGAGTTCCCCAACAACCTACCCTTATATAAAATAAAAAATTACATATAAAATAAGTATGTAGTTATCAATGACTTTATTCACCCTCAAGAACAGTGGTAGAGCCCACAGCTGCATTAGCTGCTGCACGAATGGTCCCATCGCCCAATGCAATACCACGATCACACATAACACAGTGTAAAACGTCCATTCAAAATTATTATGTTAGTCCAACAGACTAACACGCCACATTGCAACCACACAAAAAACATTTAGATACTGTGCGAAGCGTTTAAATGTATACTTTGTGTCATTTTGCTTACAGAGATTTACATTAGCGGAGAACGTGAACTGTCTCATGTATTGTGTACATCGTACAAAGTTTTAAGATAAATCTTGTATTTAATTAATTTATGTTGATAAATTGAATTTTGCCGCTGACGTCTGCGCCTCGCGTCGCGCGTCGACGCTCGCCGCCGCCAGTCGAGTTGAACGAGCGGCGAGCGAATATAACATACTATAAAATCGCTAACAATATAACAAGGAACAAGTTAAGCAAATATATAGATATGTCAAATAATGTATAATTGTAGATGGCATCGGAATGTTTATACAAGAGCTTTGTATTTACTAATAGACACGTCCAAAGGGCTGACCGCGATCTGCGCGTCCGGAGCCCATACAAACTTTATGTCCATGCCAACTTATTAACGCTAACCGAGAAAGACGAAACGGAAGCCCACAGATGCCTTTGCCGAAATTAAAACGTTTTAACCCTTTCCTTTATCCAAAGTCCAATTTCTTGTTCGCGCTATTTATTTTAAAACAATGCCACGTTTTTGTTTTACTTATTAATAAAATTACTAGTTTTATGTATTATAAATGTTTTTAAATAAATATAATCCTTTATCTTGTCTACATTACATTAAAAAACCAATTTGCCATTTAATTAATTGAAATATAAATGGAAAACGTGAACCTCGATGTTATTGGAAAGCCGCTCGACAGATTTAATTAAAAATAAAAATACTCGAGACTATCCTCATTCATTACTCACCAGATTCTGTTCTGCATTCCTACGAAATGTTATTTAAACTAAGTATATTTTCTTGTAAATTTTATTGAATACATACTACCGGTTACCCGCGGATTCGTCCGCATTAGTTTAATAGTCCAAAAAAACTTTAACCCAAAGAGATTTTAGGCGTACAGTGTACATTTACAAAAATTCTGAAAGATGTATTTAATTATTTGTTCTAAAAAGTGTTATGTCAATTTTCAAGTAATTCTGTTGCAGGAATACCATTGCTCTATAAGTGTTAACTTTTACACCCGTCTTTAGAGAAAACCCAAGGTATTAGGAAAGCAAATTACACTCCAGTCGTGTGTTGCTTTGCACATTGGAAGTAAACAATAGCATAATAAGGTTGATGTTGACATATATAAAGGAAATCTGCAGAAAGTAGCAGCTGCTTTTACGTTGATTCAACGTCGCACAAACCTTTGCTTGACACAATATAATATGCGGTTTAGTGACCGCAGCTATGTCCGCGTTTCTTCAGCGTAATTAAATACATTTATTGAGGTGTAACGTACGAGAAGGGTTCGGGTTCGGGTTCGGCGGCGACGGCGGCGCGGCGAGGCGGACACCATTTTGTACAAATTAGTTGAATGACTGGCGCGCTGTCTCCGACGCCGGCCATTTATTGTCTGGTATAATCGCCTTCTGTCTCTCACACTGAGTACCATTGATTTATGAAACACCTTGTATTTATTTCTTACTTCTCAACTGATGAGTCTTTCTTACTAAGGTGTCGTCTGTGGATGATGATCTTTGACTATTTTGTAGTAATAATAAAAACATTATTAACATCTTTTTTAGTTCATTTTAACAAGAAAACTTAGCAGAGTAGATGTTTTTCTAAATTTGAAAATTTGAGTTGCGTCGTTTGTATGTGTTCATTGTATTTGCGAGGGTTGCCAGTATCATAAATTGCTAAACTTTATATTGTTTCTTTAAATTAAAGAAATTTATCCGACAGAGAAGAAATTTTTGACAGTGCTAGAGCCCGCTTTTACATCTTCGCACTAATTATCCCGGCTCGCCCGGTGAAATACCACGACCACACAGAAGACAGGCGTCAAGTGGAAGCAATTCCGCGTTTCGTCTGATGAGTGTGCATCCTGGAGGCCTAATTTAGTCCTCTTTCCCTTCCCAACCTTTTCCTTAAAAGGAAAGGCTAGGAAATAGAAGTGGACTTTCCAGATGAGAGGATGCATGGAAAGGGAAGATATTTTCTTTCTGTGCTCCCTCTCCTCCGTTGATTAAAGGTAGGCAACGCATATGCAATTGCGTATGTCTATGGGCAACGGTCACTTCCCTATTTCAGCAATTTCAGGTGGCCGCTCGCTCGTTTGCCACCTCATGATATAAAAAAATATATCAGGCAGAGGTGAAGAACGTAAACATATATCGTATAGCTGTGATCTACATGCATTCTGCGATGTGTCGGTGCGCCCCCTAGCCCCGGACCCGGCTCCCGCCCCCGCCGCCATACCCGGCCCCGGCCCCGGCCCGGCTCACAAGGCGCGGCGGCGTGTTCAAAGTTTACTACATTCTGATGTGGAAATCTTTGCGCTGCTACAACTTGCTTGTCTTGTAAAACTTTGCCGAACGCGTTCAGTTCACCAGCATTCTCCGCACGAGTTCACAAAAAGTTTCGTTACATCGTAAAATAATTATTGTATGGTAACTTTTAATTTTAACATTTTAGAGAACATACACACATGTACATAATTATTACTTGATTATTAAAAGCAGTAGTCGACGAGTTTTACATGTTGTAGGTATGTTATTTACCAAACAGCGCTTCCCCGCCCCCTGCAGTGAAGTCTGGCTTGTATTCATAAACGAACCAAATTAAACTAATTAAAATTGAAGTTGTTTGGTGAAACTGATTTAATTAACGCCAATGAATCTCTTCTCCGACAATATATTAACTTTGACTTAATAAATACATCAAGTTTGTTGAACCTAAATTAAATTAACTGAACGTTTAATTATGATCCAAGATCATTAATCTGGCTGAGGGATCTTGCCCGCCAGTCTGACGCTGACGCTGACGCACTGTCTTCTAACATTTAAATATCTTTTAAGTAGATAGAGCTTGTCTTCAAATCCTTCATATCGGTTATAATAATTATTGAAATAAACATTTATGATATTATAGAAGAAGTTTATCTAAGTGCTACAAAATGTGTTATCTCTCATTTCCCAAAGAGATTAGAGAAGGATTAAAAAAATAGAAAGGAACACAAACAAGCAGTCAACTTGTGTCAGAAATAAAAAAGTAAGTGTTAGTTTATTGAATAGACGAAGGATAATATCTACTGACTACACGCGCCACTCGCACTATACCGCACCGGCACCACCCCTCATACACTTTTGTTTAACAAATTTTATAACTGTTAAAAAAAATTACTTTTCAAGTCTTATACTAAATAAGTCATTTGCATTGTACTTTACCGAGTCAGTTTGAGTTTTAAGAAACTTTATTTTTATTTTAAGGTTTTATAAGAATTTCATTGTTATAAATACTTCCTCCACCTGAAAAGATACTGAAAACTTCAGCCTTAACTACAATGAAACATAAATAAAACCGCCGAAAATATTCATAAATTCAACTTTGTACTCTATCGGGCGTAAAGTACTCCAAAAGTCTCATACTAGTTTTGACATAATTGACGATAAGAATACGAAGGCACTTGTAGCAAAAATTCGTGTTAGGCCCACGGATGAAGGTTCCTTTGTTCCATGTACTTCCATTTCATATTTCAATGTACAGAATGGTCACGCACGCCATCTTTGCATCCATACATTCTCTATTAACAAGTTACGACGCCATTGCTAAGCAAGACAACAGATGGCGTTAGTGTGCTGTCATAACGAAGAGTATATAAAATAATGTCATCAATGTCAATGCCATGACAACGAATTTTTTTAATGAAATTGTTGCCATCACAACAAATTATTCTGAAGGTTTTCCGATTTTCCGCAAAATAGCGGGGTGTTCTATCTGTATGGACACGCTAGCACCCTACAATTTTGAATTCTATACGGTTTTAAAAATCCAAAAGCAATATCTCTTCTCTTTCTCTCTCAGGTAGATATAGAGTTCGATTAATGTATCAAAACATGTCATTAAACAATAAAACTATATTAATGGCTATACTATATTGAAATTTTATATGTAAAGCTTATTACTGTTACTCTGATTTTTAAAAAATGACAATGCTAATTTCTTAAATAAAATATTTATGAATGAAATTAAGCAACCTGTGTCATTTTACCAAAGAGTATATAACATTTTACTCCGTTGCCAACCAAAGAGTATATAAAACGTTGCCAACTATACCTCATGGATGGACCTCTGTAGATGGACAGATTATGAGACATGGTTTTTTGTGCGTATTTGATTTTCGCCATTTTGACGATGACTTCTTTCTTTATTTCTAAATGTAAACACAGGCTCTTTCTCGACGTTGACACCAAAACAAGCAAGAATAAAAGCAAAAATAAAATATTAAGAATAAGAACCAAGAACTAGAATTCATATAAGAAGCTAGTACATCCGAACACATTACCAAACTCTGGTACTGTTTTACATCAAAGGAGCGAGCATTCTTAGAATTTTCTGCATAGTAAGATAAGATAGAACAACTAATGTTGTGTTTCTCTTTACACTTATAGAATTTGACGCAGAGGATAGAATGAGCATTCACTCGTCTAGTGTAAATCGGCTTTGTTAACTGTCTGCCAGTAATTTCGGAACGAAGCAAAAGCTGTCTTTTTCCAAGCGGTGACCTGTCCATATATGCACTTCGCAGTTGTATACATGTACACATGCGATACAAATACAATAAAAATAAGTATGAAATTCTAGTGTCAGTTAATTTGCTATTGGTAACGGTTGTGTTTAGTGATTGTACGTCTAGTTTTGTAGACTCAACTGTTTTTGTTGAATAAAAACGAATGTATGAGTGATATTTTACAGTGCGATTTGGTGCTGACAGCTAGTTAGAACATGTGATATAATAAGTTTAAATAAATCAAAACAAGATCGACCACCCACGGGTGTCCGGTCCAGAATTTCAGAAATGAGGCTTTAGCTTGTGCGAGTGATAATACTTTCGGTTTCACGCTTCGATGGCATTTTGTTGAACCGACTACGATATAAAAATAACGTGTTGTTATGTTTTGGATTCATTCGATGGACTTTTAACAGGTGAGTTATTAGAATGTTTAAGGCATGGCGGATCGGAATGCGCCGGTAAATGATGGCGGCTATTGTTTTTGAAACGACACCACTCCATGGCGGCCAACATCGATTCGCGATCCACGGACTATTTATTTCCAATTGTTCTGGTACATTAAGGGCGAGACAACAGTTAGATAAAACTAGATGTGACGCGGGCTCGACGACGTCACAGCAAATTACTTTGTTATCGCATCGTCGTGTTCGTCGTCGTACACGGCGGCACGGCGGCATTCCAAATCCAAATCATACAATAGCTTGTTATTGGACATTCCATAAAACCAGTTGTGTAAAAGTAATTGTTTCCGGTATTAATTGATAAATCAATTAGTTTTTTCTCAGTTGAAAAAGCTACAATAATATTTTATTTAAATGCTCGCCAATATTTCTAAAAAGCAGACATTAAAGTACATATTAAAAAAAAGACTAGGTATAGAAAGAAATCAATTTTTTATTAAATACTAGCAAAACTAGCAGAATGTTGCAATGCCAAAAGCAGTACATTTCATTTTGTAAGTCCAGCTATTGATTGCTTGTCACAACATGTCAAGTGAATGTGATATGATGCATCTATCACAATACAAATCTCTGAATAGATTAAAACACCCGTTATGGTGGTTGCCTTATGTCTTTATGACTCGGAACTTTGCACAAGTCACTGAGCAGAATGAAATATTTGTAGACATGCACGGGGAAGGGTGCTGCACAGTGCATAGATGACCTTGAGTCACTAAAATATTTGAAAAGACATATACAATAAAGCTTTACAAAAGTTTTGTGCATGTTTAAATTTTATTTGCTACCACAACAAGGTGTGGACCGGACCATATTTGTACTTGTCTTTTTGGCAGTCGCTTGCTATGAGTTATTGCATATTTTGTTGAAGCCAAGTGAAAAGCTTAATGTTGTTTTATTTGCTGTTGTGGTGTAGTTGCTTACCGTCCCAGCGCCAGCCCGCCTCATCAAGATGATGGTCGAGACCATATTGGAGTCCTCTCAGGATTTTGGTAAGTGCTTCCACATTAACTATTTGTAACATATGATCTGTACTTTCTTGACATTCTTAATTACTGAATAGTCCAGATTTATATATTTTAAACAATGTGTTGAAGCTATATGTACATACAATAACTCCTTTAGTTTCACTCACTTCATGTCAATGTTCTGCTATGTGCATTACAGCATATGTGTTACATTTTTATATATAATCATTTTAACTATTGCTGTTACACTAATATTATACCTTAACATCACATCTTTGATATATTTTGTTTTGACATTAACAAAACATATATTGCTATTACTTTTGTCATACTTTTTCCACTTATTATAATATTGTTGGAATTAGTATGTATATAATGATATATTTAAAGTAGGATTCATAGCGGAGGTCTAATGTTGATATAGACAATGCTAATTGCTTTGTCATTAATTAATATTATTTCCAACATTGCAAGCGGGGGGTCACACAACACTCGCTCGCTGTTATTTTCCTCCTGTAAGTGGGATAATTGATAGTGTGCCAGCGCGGGGTCAGCTTGATAAGGGCTTTGTTTAGTTTGTTTAATGGCACTGCCTAATTGTTCTTGTGTGATGTTTTTAATTTTGCATGTAGACATGTAATACATGGACTTGGCCTCTTTTGTGCTTTGCTACTATTTGTTTCAGGAATGCGTACATAATTAAAAAAACGAAAGGTTTAAGTTCTTAAATAACCTGAATAGGTTCTAAAAATCAATAAACTAAATGATGTAAACATTTGTAATACATCGTAACACACGGCTCATTGTATAGCTTCATGTCTGATGTGTGTGCTCCCTGCAGGCATGTCGAACGGCAGCCTGCCGCAATGGAAGCGCGAGCTGCTGCAGCGCCGCGCCGCGCGCTCCCGCCCAGCGCCGCCGCCCGCACCGCCCGCGCCCCCTCCGCCCCCGCCACCCACCGACGACGAGGAGTTGCGCTACGGGCCCGGCATCGTCAAACGCCTCAAGTCCCGCTATCTCAGCCTGGCACTCCGCGACGCGCCGCGCCGTCGCCCTTCCGTCTTGCGGCGCGCCGCATCCCTAGAGCACCTGCTTGACGAGCCGCCCCCGCCTCGCCCCCGTCCCGTATCGCTCGCGGTGCCTCCGGCTCCACCGCGAAGGGATTCCGTCAAACGCGCTCGATCCGTGGATGCCCTGAGTCGCCTGGACGAGCCCGATGCGGCCCCGCGCTGCCGGCCACCGCGCCGCCCCGCGCCCTTGCTGCGCGACACCGAGCGCCCGCCGCCCGACGTAGTACGCGCCGCCTTGCGCAAGTTCGAATCGGCTCCGCCTCGGCGCGCCGCGCCCGCCGCCCGCGTGTCTGCGGTGTTGCGCGGTCTAGAGGGCCCGCGGTCCTCGACGCCCGAGCCTCGCGCGCGCTCCCCGAGCCCCGCCGCTGCCGATCTCTCAGCTATCGACGAGCCGGAGGGCGCCGCGATCTCTGCTAAGCCCGTCTCTCGCGCAGCTCTCGAGGGCATCGCTCGCGCCGGATCCACTATTCGCTACGCGTTCGAGTCTCCCAAAAATGGATCACATCTACCGACGGTCGCCGCAGCCAACCCTGTGCTGCTGAGTCGCGCTCGCCTATGGACTTCTCCGAGGCGCGTCGGAATCATCCGACCGATGCCCGCACTGAGTTCCGAGCGTGGCGACACAAGCGTGACGCCACACCTCGAGGATTGCATCGAAAAGCCCGCGGAAGAGCCCCGCGTCGCGTCGCCGCCGTGCGAGCCGGAACCTCGCGGAGATAAACGCGAGCCGCCTTCCGCCGCCGTCGAACCGACCTTGCGATCGCCTCCATCGGAAATCGCACCGACAGAAACGATCGGACTTCCGCCTACGAAACCGATCCCGCCACCCCGCGAGCGCACCCCGGATCTCATCGAAGCTAAGTCGGAGCCGCGAGTGATGGAAACCATCCCGAAGCCGGCGCTGATGAACGGGCACGCGGAGGGAGGGCGTACGCCCGAGCCAAGAATTCGGACGCCGTCCCGCATCGGCGCCGCGGGGATAGAGCGTGCGTGGACCGGCGCCAAGGCGAAGAAGACCGGGGAGGTAGAGGAGAAGAAAGAAACGGATGTGAAGCCGGCGACTTGGGGCCGCAAGCCCCGCCCTCCCGCGCCCGCCTCAACCTCCGTCGTGTTCAACTTCTCCAACCGCAAGGAGGTGCCCGATTACATCGAGAACGACGGCGTCATCCGTCGCACCAGCCGCCGCAACAGGATAAAGGTGAGTGCCACTGACACCTTCTATACTATACAGGATGAACACAAGTTACAATACTAGATCATCTTCATCATATTACAATTAAAAGTCATCAAATGGCGCACAATTAGGGCGTTGTCGCGAGCAGCGTCGCACAGTGGTCGCTATGCTCGTGACATCCTAAACATAAAATTGGGTTTGAAAGATCCAAATCGATGGTAAGAAACCTGTCGCTTGTGCAAACTTGTCGAGTGGTGATGAGTGAAAGTGCGCGCGGAGAAAACGTCGCGTCGGACCCATGGGGCTCCACTCTCGGTTTCGGCAGATGGCACGAAAGCGACCGCGGAATGCCATCGTCGCGCCAACAAGCGAATACATAATGCGATCCTCATACAACTCCTATTGATATCGTATGCCGCTCACGTGTATACGTTGTCAGACAATGCTTTAACGCGTTACGTATTTTCATTTTAACTTTTATTATTAATGAAAGTATTACTTACTTTATATAGAATTATAGTAAATACTACACGATCAATAGATATTTAAATTACAAGTTGTCCTACAGCTCGTAGTGAAATGACGGTGCGTGAACGCAGCACAAACATAAATGATATCGTATCTCAAATTAAATACGACATATAAATAGTTAGGTTATTTTTAACATTAACAACTTATACAATTCTAATAACGATATGAAAGTATCTACATATTTTTTCAAAGTAAACACATATAAATAAAATGTATAAGAGTTCGTTGTAGCAGTAAAAAGTGCGAGCGCGTCCATGCGGCGCTTATCCTCCTCTAATCACTGAGCCGTTAATGGGCTCCGAACATGATCGTTGATCGCCTAAGTTATCCATGACAAGTAACCTATCTTAGTTCAAATAATGGCAGGTGGCTTGTCGAGATGTGAAAACCGCCACGATGGCCCGCCGCTAACGTCTCACGCACTCGGAGTCGGAGATCCAGTTCACATTAACTTTCGATTCACCAGTCGTCCTTGAAAATAAACATTCGACGCGTTTCATTGCCTCGCACTACTTGTATTTGACGTGTCCTTAAATACATTCGTTGTATTTATGCAAATCATTGCATATGTTTGTCTCTTATGTTTTATATTAATAAAATTGATAGAGTCGAGGCAAGACGAGGACTGCTCTTACGTAGTACACTCGCCTGCAGTTATCAGTGTTAGTTAACAGTAGGTAACACGTGCGCCACTCGGATAATTATGTTCAATTGATTTGTCACGAACGCATCGCAAACCGCCCCGCCCCGCCCCGCTACCACACCTATCGACACGATAACGTACACTTAACTCGAGCCCATTTACCTATTTCAGATGAAATAAATAGTATCAAACCAATATGGTAAGATGTACTGGGACTGAGAACAGCGCTCGACAAGATGTCCCCATACAGCCCCAATGCTGGTCGGGTTTATTTCGCGGATATTAATGAATGCTATTCGACCGACCGGGAGACGTGTGTCAGTACACAGCTAGCGTTAGTCAAAGCCTTCAGTTCCGTTCGAATGTCGGCTCAAGGGTGCGGCGAGCTGTTGCCGGCCGCCGCACACTCCCCGCGCTAGCCAGCACCACGGACTCTAGCTGACTCAGCACACAATCACAGAAAAATGCGATCAAACCTTGTATAGTAGGAATATCGCATAATTGTTGTTGAATTGTTAATCACAAATTTAAACGACTCCAATAATTTAATAATAGAAGTTACGCGGCACACCCAAATAGTTGGAGGTTATTTCATAATTTTTTTTATTTTTTATATAGTAATTATTTGTGTCAGTTCATATGAACCGGTGTACATGAGTCAGTGAGTCGCAGTGCGTGTGCGTGTGCGTGTGCGTGTGGCGGCGGGCGGAGCGGGAGCGGCGGGCTTATTCTGAGCAAATATTCCAATTTGCGAGTATCGCGTTAATGAGCGGTCCGGCTGATTCACCACCGCCGTCAGCCTCAACCCTTACACTGTTATTTTAATGTAGAATTAGACAAAATCATTGTCTGCACAAACTGTCCGGATGTATGTAATATATTTAATAGAGAATTGAAAAATCTATGTCCAGAGTCGCTGCCGAGTAAATCCCGCGACAGCCTCGTTACTAACGTAAAGTTAGATATATAATGATTTTTTGCCATGTTAATGAGTATTATGAGGTATCTGGTAGCTGCAGCTGAACGTGTCAGCGGCCACGTACGAGCACTGTCACGTGCTCTGCCTGCGGATGCGGCCGCCGCCCACACGCCGCGACAGTGACGTAGTACAGACGATTTATGCAACTTATGCACTCACTGTGGTTGCTGTAACATTTATTTTAAACCGCTTTGGATTATAAAATGCCCTATTTACATTTCAATATTATTGATTTGATGTTCCTACGTGCCCCCCAACAATTAATCGACACGTTATTAATCAATTGAGACAAAACATTCAAACAGGACTCGTTTAGACGTTGACATTTCATATAAAGGTAGGTTGCAAAGAGTCGATGCACTGTAAACGTTGGTGATGTTATGTCACGGAAGCCGGCAGCGAAGTGTTAGCTTTCTACGGCACAATGGCGCCGCCAAAAAACACGCTCCCAGCGCCAGCCGCGCGCCTCCACGTCTCGCCCTGGCCTAACAAACATTATGATAACCACAATACTCGCAATATTATGAAACGAATGTTAAGATTATATAATTATTGTATTTTTAATCGTGGTCGATGACGAGCACACCGTCCTGCGCCACAACGACTCATGCCTCACCTCAATATCACATCTCACCGACTACCAACAATGCACGTAATTTTATTCATAAACAGTTTATCGACTTTGTGGACGACATTTAGCAGCGGCCAGACTCGTTTTGTAATTTCCGTGATCTAATGAAGTGGAATGTTGCTTTGGTAT